ATAAACTGAAACCCTGAACAGACCAATAGTGAATTTCAAAACTGATTCAGTAATAAAAAGCCTACACCCAGAAGCAGCCCTGGAAAAGACATATTGACAGCCAAATTCTACCCAACATATAAAGAAGAGCGGATAATAACCCTACTAAACTATTCCAAAAACTGAGAAGAAAGGACTCCCCGTCAAATCATTCTATGGAGCCAGCATCATTCTGATACCATAACTTTGTAGAAACACAATGGAAAAAGAAAACTTTAGGCCAATATCCCTGATGAATATAGATGTAAGAATCCTCAACAAATACTAGCACACCAAAACCAGAAGCACATCAAAAACCTAATCTACCATGATCAAGATGGCTTTATTCCTGTTATACAAGGTTGGGTCAACATATGTAAATCAGTAAACGTGATTGAACACATAAACAAAACTAAAAACAAAAACCACATGATCATCTCAATATATGCAGAAAAGGCATTCGATAAAATTTAACATCACTGCGTGTTAAAAATTCTCAACAAACTAGACACTGAAGGAACATACCTTAAATAAAAAGACCCATCTATGACAAACCCACAGCGAACATCATACTAAATGGGGAAAAGCTAGAGACATTTCCCTTGAAAACTGGAAAAAGGCAAGCATGCCCACTCTCACCACAACTATTCAACATAGCACTGGAAATTTCACCCAAAGCAATTAGGCAAGAGAAACAAATGAAAGGCATCCAAATTAAGAGGAAGTCATACTATCTCTGTTCACAGATGACAATGATTCTATACTTAGAAAACCCCACTCTCTCTAACAGTTCCTAGATCTGATAAACAACTTCTACATAGTTTCAGGATACAAAATCGATGTCAAAAAATCAGTAGCATTTCAGCAATAACGTCCAAGCTGAGAGTCAAATCAAGAATGCAATCCCATTCACAATAGCCACAAAAGAAATAAAATACCTAGGCATACAGCTCAACAGGGAGGTGAAAGATCTCTACAATGAGAATTACAAAACTTTGCTACAGAAATCAGAAACAACACAAATGGAAAGATATTCCTTACTCATGGAGAGGAAGAATTAACATTATTAAAATGGCCATGTTGCTCAAAGCAATTTACAGATTCAATGCTACTCCTATCAGGCTACCAATTACATTTTTCACAGAACTAGAAAAAATATCTAACATTCATATGGAACTGAAAAGCAGCCTGAATACCCAAAACAATCCTAAGCAAAAAGAACAAAGCCAGAGGCATCACACTATCTGACTTCAAACTATACTACCAGGCTACAGTAACCAAAACAGCGTGGTACTGGGGGGGGAAAAAAAAAAAACAAAAACAGACACATAAAACAACAGAACAGAATAGAGAACCCAGAAATAAAGCCACACACCTAAAACCATCTGATCTTTGACAGAGTCAAAAATAAGCAATGGGAAAAGGACTCCCTATTCAATAAAGAGTTCTGGGATAACTGCCTAGCCATACGCAGAAGATTGAAACTGAACCCTTTCCTTTTACCATACACAAAAATCCATTCACGATGGATTAAAGACTTATATGTAAGGCCTAAAACTATAAACACTCTGAAAGAAAATCTAGGCAATACCATTCTGAACCTAGGCCCTGGCAAAGATTTCATATGAAGACTCCAAAAGCAACTGCAACAAAAACAAAAGTTGAAAAGAAAGACCTAATTAAACTAAAGAGCCTCTACACAACAAAAGAAAGTATCAACACAGTAAACAGACAACCTACGGAATGGGAGAAAAAATTTGCAGACTATGCATCCTACAAAGGTCCCATAGCCAGGATCTGTAAGGAACTTAAACAAATTAACAAGCAAAAAAAACCCATAAAAAATGGGCAAAGGACATGAACAAACAATTCTCAAAACAAGATATACACATGGCCAGCAAGCATATGAAAAAATGATCAACATCACTGAGTTTTAGAGAAATGCAAATCAAAACCAAAATAAGAACCATCTCACATCAGTTGGAATGGCTGTTATTAAAAAGTAAAAAAATAACAGCTGCTGATGAGGTTGTGGAGAAAAGTGAATGCTTTTACAGTGGTGGGGGGAATGTAAATTTCAGCCACTGTGGAAAGCAGTTTGGAGATTTCTCAAAGCTAAAACAGAAAGAACTGCCATTCAACTCAACAATCCCATTCCTGGGTACCAACCCAAAGGCATATAAATCATTCCAATAAAAAGACAACATATACTCATATGGTCATCACAGCACTATTCAAAAAAGCAAAGATGTGGAATCAACCTACATACCCATCAACAATGGACTGAACAAAGAAAATGTGGCACGTATACACCATGGAACACCACACAGCCAGAAAAAAGAATAAAATCATGTCCTTTACAGCAACATGGATGGAGCTGGAGGCCATTATTCTATGTGAATCAATGCAGGAAAAAAAAAAAAAAAAAACAAATACAAAATGTTCTCACTTACATGTGAGAGCTAAATATTAAGTACACATGGACAAAGGGAACAGTACACAATGGGGTCTACTTCAGGGTGGAGGTTGGGAAGAGGATGAGAATTGAAAAACTACCGATCTGGTCACTGCACATGTACCCCCTGAACTAAAATAAAAATAAAAGTTAGAAAGGAATAAAAGTTTAAAAATAAAATAAAATCTAGTTTCTTAGCAATTTCCAAGTAAAAAAATAAATAAATCTGATATGAAGAAATGGAAATATACAGTAATGCTTTACTTTGATGGTCTTGACAGTGTTATTTTCTCTGAAGCAAAAATTATCTCAATTATGTATATTACAAAAGAGATCATTTCCTCCAAATGGAGACAACAAACAATATTAGAGAAAGCAGCATAGCATTTTTGTCTCTAATTTCTCTGTAACTTAGCTGTGAAACCTTGAGTAAGTCAGTCATCTGCCATCTCATCTGTAGTAAATTAATCAATTTTAATTTGCCAAGGAGTTATAAAATTGTGATACAATTTTTCATTCACTAAAGCAAAGAAATTGATTTAAATGAGATTTATAACTGAAATAGCTCAACGTAGCACCCCCAAGAGTATCTAATAAATTATGACAGTGTACAAAACATTCAATAGTTTAAAAAAAAAAAAAAAAAAAGACGTTGTTACCTTGAACTTATGGGCAATTGGACATTCTAGATTTTTTAAAATGCCCTTCCTTCTTACCAGATTACACTTACAATTTTTTTTACAGTTTTGGACATTGTTAAATTACACACTCAAATTACTCAATTGAACTCATTATGAATAGAAATTATGTGGCACATGATCTGAACAACTTGGCTCACTGCAACCTCCACCTCCCTGGTTCAAGCAATTCTCCTGCCTCAGCCTCCAGAGTAGCTGGGAATACAGGTGCACGCCACCACACCCGGCTAATTTTTTTGTATTTTAGTAGAGACAGGGTTCACCATGTTGCCCAGGCTGGTCCCGACCTCCAGAGCTCAGGCAATCCGCCAGCCTCGGTCTCCCAAAATGCTAGGATTACAGACGTGAGCCACCGCACCCAGTCTTTCTCTATAGCTCTTAATCACTACTCGTTACGTATTTACTTGTTAATTATACTTCTCCATTCATTAGAATGTAAGTTCCAGGAGCAGAAGGACTTTCTATTTTGTTCACGACTGTCTTCTCAAGCACCTGAACACTATCCCGCACACTGAAGGTTGCCAGTAAATATCTGCTAAATGAATAAATAGGTGGATGCTCATGGTTTCCCTCTTGGCCTTGGTACTATTTATTCTACCATATGGAGCAGCCATAGCTGGAAAGCATCCAGAGCTTTTCAGTGTAGGGTTCACTGGTTAAGGGGAAGTAAGGCCTAGTTGAAAATTCTGAAAGAAGTCTGGTACCAGCACTGTCACTGAGGCCTTAATGAAGCAGATCCAAAAATACTCTCTTACTCAGCACGCTAACTTTTCAGTGTAGGGTTCACTGGTTAAGTGGAAGTAAGGCCTAGTTGAAAATTCTGAAAGAAGCCTGGTACCAGCAGATCCAAAAATACTCTCTTACTCAGTTTCTACATTCGCTAAATGTATACAGTGTAACTGTCCCTCGCATTGTAGGATAAAGAATACACCTTATCAATGCGATATTTGTTACGCAGTATACGGCATGCGTTAATACAAACGATGTCATGTACTGCATTAAAAAATCGCATTGATATTTTGATAAATATACAAGGCACTCGCAGACAAAAACCAGAGAATTTTTCCCTCTATTGCAGACAAAAAGCAGAGAATTTTTCCCTCTACAGCTTTTTTGAGGATTTGGGAGAAACGGACAAATGCAACATTGCATGTCATTAAATACAGCATATCCAAAACACAAATAACGAGTTTCTTGGCCCAACAGATACAGACCCTGGAGCACTAAAAGAATATGTTAAACACCTGGATGAGGGAAAGAGAAGACTGCCTCCAAAACATACTTACTTTATTTCAAAGTCAAAAGTATTCAACACTTAATTCATACATTCATACTGCATCCCAGAGAAACGTCCCACCCGCGCCCATGCATGTTACAAGTTTTGAGAGCATTTTATAACTGCACTTTAATCCGTCTGCAGCGAATGACTTCTGGTAAAGCGCTAGCAGTTAATAACACTTTTTGTAGGAAAAAAAAAAAAAAATTAATACAAGAACCACAATACCTCCACTCCCAAGAAAGCGGAGGAGGGCCCATTACTCTGTCTCCAGGGACTCCCAGAATCCCGTACGCCCCGATATAAGGAAAGTCATCCAGGCAACACACGTGTCGCTCCCGCCTGGAGGTTGGAAATCGCACATGGGACCTGCCCATCAGCGGGGACCCAGACACAAGTCAGAGGTGTCCGCAGGGAATGCAGCGTGGTTCCTGACAGCTTCGGGCCCCAAGGCCAGCGACCCCCGCCTGAGCCCGACTCAGGCCAGCACCCTCCTCGGATTTCGACCCGGGCCTGCCCCCGGAGCTCACATCCCCGCAAACGGCAGTCCTACCTGAGCTCTGCCCCCAGCTACAGGGCTGAGGCGGCAGGCGGGAGGAGGCGTGGCCTTCCAGTTCGCCAGTCGAACTCCCTCGTGCGGTTGTTATGACTTTCCCTCTCGGGATCCGCGCCCCGACCAAGTTCGAGTTGCACTTCCGGGGTCTGCAGGAGACTGACACGTCATTACGCACGCGACGGCAGCGGCGGCGACAACCCGGAAATAGGCGGGGCGCGGGACCCAGGTAGGTTCCTGTGGTACTAAGTGGCATGGAGAAAGAGGCCCACGTGAATTAAGTAGTCCTCTTACGCACTGGCGGACTCTGCTCGCCCTTCTTTATGAAGTCTGCCTGGGTAGCGGTAGAGGACGAGTCCACCTTAACGCCTCATTCTCCCCGCGGAATTTTAACCATTCTGAGGATGTCCTCACAGCCAATTCCCCATCCCCCCACTCACAGTGTGTCAGACTTTACCATGTCCATTCAATTCCAGAAAAACCGGGAGGTCTAGATTTGAAAGATTAAATTTACTTTTGAATTATAACATGTAAAATAGGAAGTTAATACTAGCATCCTAATGACAAAAGTTTTCTCATCATGCTTGACGCAGATGGGACTCTTACGGATTTTAATATTTTTTCCAGAAACAGGTTTGAAAGGTATTTCAAGGATAAATCTGGGGAGAGGGACGGTAGCAACTGATTTTTAATTTTTAGATAGTACTCTCAGCGCATTTATTTAGTCCAAAACTGTTAATTTAATGAATTAGACTAAACTAGACGCTGGGGAAACAAAGCTGAGTTAGACATTCTCTCCTCTGAGACAGCTAAAGAGAAGGAAAGTCTGGTGGCTGGCAAGTAAACCAACAGTTATGTTCTTCAAAGAGGAGATCCCAGACTCTCTAAAGTATACTTCACTCCCACACTGTTTGTACTTCTTAATCTCCACTCCTTTCTTGTTTCCTTCATAAAAGTAGAATGCTATTCATTTATTTATTTGCAAATGTACCCTGCCCCCCTAAAATGTAAAGTCATTGATGGTAGTGACCTTACCTTGTCTTTTTAATGAATCTCGGGCATTGCAAGACTGTTAGGGCTTCGTTTCGGGAAAGAACTAGAATGGTTTGTAGAGTGACACTTTATACTGAAGAGGAAAGCAACAGCCAGATTCTGAAAAGCTTTATATGTCATCCTGAGTAATTTGAATTTCTGCTGCAGACAATTGGAGAAACTGAAGGACTGTTGAACAGAGGAGGGAAACATTTTTATTTTGGTAGACTTTTGCAACAGTGGCAAATTGTATTAAAAAGATAAGGCTGCCAAAAATGTATAATCCCAGTTTAACCATGAGAAAAACATCAGACAAAATACCTAACCAGTACTACTCCAAACAGTTAAAGTCATGAAAAACAAGGAAAGTCTGAGAAACTGTCTGAGCCAAGAGGAGCCTAAAGAGACCAACTTTAATGTGGGATCCTGAAACAGAAATAGAACATAAGTGGGAAAACTAATGAAAATTGAATAAAAAGAGAATATACCAATCTTTACATAAAACATGGAGATTGGTCAAGAGATGAGTAACAGGACCTTTCAATGTTTCCAGGATAGAGGCCCACTCAAGGGTTAGGGGAAGGTACTTTGTTCAATAGTAAACTATTGAACAAATATAAGGGTGCTTCAGCCTACAATTCCAGCTGTACTTACATGGGAATGAATGAGCCTTCAGATTGTTCCTATCATAGAGTCTTTCAGCTGGGGTCCCAAATTTCGTAAAGCAAAGACAAACCATCCCCACTGTGCCCAGTTCTGAATTCCTGACCCACAGAAACAATTAGAGGGAACGAAAATGATTCTTGTTACTTTAAGCCAGTAAATTTTGGAGTGATTTTTCAGCAAAAGAAACTAATCTGCTATATGACAACAGCCAATGAGTAAATATCCTTTCAAGTCCAATCCTGCCTAAGATGTCAAAATCAAGAATGAGGAGGTTATGTGCTAAAACAGAGTGAGTTCTTTTCTCTCCTTACTCTACCCTAAGTGGTAAACTCCTGTCTCAGCTGACCACAAAAAATATCTTCTGCATATCTGTGAGGAGAAAGGAGGGAAAGCAACAAAAATTGTGTGTGGGCTTAGATGTTTTGTTAGAATTACAACAGCCCATGTGTAGCGTAGCAGAAACCATTACAATGATGACTACACGGTATAAGTACAAAAATTTCCCCTCATTGTAACCATAGTCATCTAAACTGTACAAGTTAGTTTATTTATAGTTTTAATTTATACATCTCTAGGGAAGCCAGAAACTTCAGTTTCTCTCCCCACCTCTCTTCTCTTGCACTTTAAAATGCTACTAAGACAAGGAAAAAGGAAAGGAAATTTGTTCCCTCCTGGCTAACAGCTGGTTCATCTTTGATCACTAGGATGATCAAAGAAATGTTCCTATACCATATTTGGCATATCCTCCTCCTGTTCCAGACCACTTCCTTCGGAATCTATCTTTTTATCAATCTACTCCGACCCTTCACATCAAATGATTTCAGTGACATACAGCAGACGGACACCTCCAAAAATACTATCAAGACTACATGTTGTTCATTTAAGTTAAAAATAAAATGTAAACCTACTTATCATGACTAGGGCTCAGTGCCAACATTTTGGCAGTTCAAGAATATCCATTAAGGAAAATATTCTTAATTAGATGCTAAGGGCAAAGCTGTGTCCAAATTAACCAACTCTATTAGAGCGAGGTCTGGATGCTGACTTAAATTTGGAGAATCGAGTAACATTCCTGCCCTTGCCCAAGCCCAAGCAGGTATGTGCTGTGGTTTGAATGTGTTCTCTAAAAATTCGTGTGTTGGAAATGTAATTGCCATTGTAATAATATTAAGAGGTGAAGCCTTAAAGAGGTGATTTAGACCATAGGGGCTATGCCCTCATGAAGGGATGAATGCCATTACTGTGGGAGTGGATTAGTTATCATGGGAGTAGGATCCTGATAAAAGGATAAATTTGGCCCCCATTTTCTCTCCGTCTTGTGCACTGTCTCTACTTTGTCTCAGCCTCTCTCCTCATGTGATGCTTTCTGCCACAAAATGACCTTCACCAGATGCAGCCTCTGGATCTTGGACTTCCGCAGTCCCCAGAACTGTAAGTCAAATGAATTTCTTTTGTTTATAAATTACCCAGTCTGTGGTATTCTTACAGCAGCAGAAAATGGACTAAGACAGTATGTGTGAAGTGTGGCATAGTAATTACGACAAGTTCTGCCTTCTAGATTCAGTTTATATTCAAAGCCCAAAAAGTAGAATCATATAACCAACTAATTTCTAATGACCCTTCCAATAAAATGATTATTACTTGAAATCAACCCCCTATCACTTGTGTTTTCCATCTAGAAGCTAGGAAAAAAAAGCTGAGTTAGACTCAAGAACACACTTTTCATTATGCCTGGAATTTTTTTTTTAATGAGAAAAGATAACATATCAATGTTCAAAACATACTTTAAGAGAATTTCAAACAAAAAACTTAAAGCAGCCTCTAGTTTGTGATGGAGACAATTTGTAGGTTGATATGTTTACCTAGAGTTAGACAACCTGTGAGGTTTGAGGGCACAGTCTCCAAGGCGTCCCTCATTTCTGACACCAACTGCAAGTTTGGAGGGTTCCCAGAAACACCCTCAAGTTTGAAATTTTGCCAGAAGGTCTCACAGAACTCACTGAAAGTTGTTATCTTTACAGTTACCATTTATCACAAGGAAAGAATACAGACTGATATCAGCCAAGGGAAGAAGCACGTAAGGCGGTGTCCAGGAGGGTACCAAACACATCACTTTTGCTGTACTCTCCCATTATTTGCTGTACTCTCCCAGTGGAGTCAAGACATGTTACTCTCCCAAAATCCACGCTTGACAATATGCAATGTAGAATTCCAGTAACCCTTTTCCTGTTTGCCCCAAGAATATTTGCGAGTGGCGCTTGCAGCTGCAGCATTTACCTTGAGATTGCTTTGCTGATATGGTTTGGTGTGTCCCCACCCAAATCTCATGTTGAATTCCCATGTGTTGTGGGAAGGACCCAGTGGGAGTTAATTGAATCATGGGGGCAGGTCTTTCCCTGCTGTTCTTGTAATAGTGAATACATCTCACGAGATCAGATAGTTTTAAAAAGGGAAGTTTCCCTGCAGAAGTTCTCTCCTCTTGTCTGCTGCCATGTGAGATGTTCCTTTCAACTTCCACCATGATTGTGAGGCCTCCCCAGCCATGTGGAACTGTAAGTCCATTAAACCTCTTTCTTTTGTAAATTGCCCAGTCTTGAGTATGTTGGATCTGTTTGGGTCTGAAGAAGACAGGAAAATGTGGGAAACTTTGGAACTCCCTAGAGACTTATTGAATAGCTTTGACCAAAATACTGATAATGATATAAACAATGAAATCCAGGCTGAGGTGGTCTCAGATGGAGATGAGGAACTTGTTGGGAACTGGAGCAAAGGTGACTCTTGTTATGTTTTAGCAAAGAGAATGGTACCATTTTGCCCCTGCCCTAGAGAATTGTGGAACTTTGAACTTGAGAGACATGATTTAGTGTATCTGGCAGAAGAAATTTCTAAGCAGCAAAGCATTCAAGAGGTGACTTGGATGCTGTTAAAAGCATTCAGTTTAAAAGGGAAACAGAGTATAAAAGTTTGGAAAACTGCAGCCTGACAATGTAGAAAAGAAAATCCCATTTTTTGAGGAGAAATTCAAACTGGCTGCAGAAATTTGCATAAGTAATGAGAAGCCGAATGTTAATCACCAAGACAGTGGGGAAAATGTCTCCAGGCCATGTCACAGACCTCTGTGGCAGCCTCTCCCATTACAGACCCAGAGGTTTAGGAGGAAAAAATGATTTCATGGGTGGGGCCCCGGGTCCCTCTGCTGTGTGCAGTCTAGGGACTTGGTGCCCTGCATCCCAACCACTCTAGCCATAGCTAAAAAGGGTCAAGGTACAGCATGGGCTTTTGCTTCAGAGGGTAGAAGCCCCAAGCCTTGGAAGCTTCCACATGATTTTGAGCCTATGGGTGCACAGATATCAAGAATTGAGGTTTGGGAACCTCCACCTAGATTTCAGAGGATGTATGGAAACACCTGGATGCCCAGGCAAAAGTTTGCTACAGGGGTGGGGCCCTCTGGGAGAACCTCTGC